CGCCACCACCTGAACATTCCTCTCTAAGCCACACACCATCCTGACTTAGAACAGTATCACCCTTCCTGAGCTGTCACTGGGTCAAAATCCTGGAATTCCCTTCCCAGTAATGGACTCCCTCCACCGCAAGACTGCAAGGATTCTAGAAGGCAGCTCACCACCACCTTTTTCAGGGCAACAGTATGAGTAATAAATGCTGACCTAATCCATTGATGCCCACATCTCATAAATGAATGTTTAAAAACGTGTGTAGGACCCAACTTGAACTCTGTCCCACAGGATGATCAGGTCTATTTCCCATACCATCCCATGAACAGATACAATAAGATAACTTCTGAAGTGATGCTTGAATCCAGAAACTCATGACTCAGATTCATATTGTGAGGTGGGGTTGAGGTGGTGGAAAAGGGGTCCATGCAAGTGATTTGGAGGTCAACAGTACAGTTACCCAGGAGCTACAGCAGGTTTTAATCCTCTAGGTTTTCCTGGGTAATGGGTAACTATCCAGGTACGTGAGCCAGAATCCTTTGAATTCTCCAACTCTTATTCAGGGTTGAAGACATTTCCACACATTTCAGATGCAAGGTGATTGACCATTAGAAGTTCAAACTTCCCAGGCAGTTACCTCATAGTCCATCCATTGGGACCTTTGAAGGTTTCCAATACACAGCTTTCAGGGAAACCAAGGAACTACAGATGCTGGAAATCAGAAACAGAAATTGCTGGAGAAACTCAGCTAGTCTGGCAGCATCTGCGGAGAGAAAGCAGAGTTAACATCTTGGGTCCAGTGACTCTTCTTCAGAACTGATAGTAGCTGGGAAAAGGTTGGTACATTTGCTAGAGAAGGGGTTTGGGGGAAGGAGAAAGAGTAAACAAATAGGTGGAGATGGAGCCCAGATACAGAGAGGGAACAACAGTTGGGCAGGCAAGGGAATGGGTAAAGGCCAGCCTGGGAGAATGAATAGCTGCTAACATGGACCATTAATGGCTGACAGTAGGTGTTTGCGGTAGCAACCCATGTTAGGACAAGGTCTGGTGGTGGGGGAAGGGCACAGAAGAGGGTGCTCAGGCCCTAAAATTATTGAACTCAATATTGAGTCCTGAAGGCTGCAGTGTCGCCAAGTCAAAAACGAGATGCTGTTCTTCCAGATTGCACTGAGTTTTGCTGGAGCACTGCTGCAAGCTTGAGACAGAGATGTTGGCCAGGGAACATAGTGCGAGATGCTGCTAGACCTGCTGAGTTTCTCCAGAAGTTTCTGATGTTGTTTCACATCTTTCGGGGTTTCTGAATACCCACGCACTGGAAAATCTGGGCCTGTGTTTCAATAAGATTATCTGTCATTCTTTTAAACTCCAATGTGTAGAGACCCAACCTGTTCGAGCTTTCCACAGAAGAGCAGCCCATCATCCCAGGAATGAGCTGAATGAACTTTCCATGAACTACTTCCAAGAAGGTCACTGCACGTCTCCTGTAGATCAATGTAAATCTTCGTTTGATACTTGATTGTTTTGTTATTAAATAATCAGAAGGCAAAAGAGGGAGAGGAAATAAATTTCATAACTGGAGATATAGTGTCATGGAAACAACTGGGACTAAAGACTAACAAGTCCTGTAAACCTGATAGAATGTATCATAGAATATTAAAAGAAGTACCTATAGAGATGGTGGATGCTTGGATAATAATCTTCCAGGAATTCTTACATTCTGGAAAGGTCCTAGAAGTTTGGAAATGTGCCAGTATAATACAGCTATATAGAAAGGTAAGGAGACATGTAAAAGGTAACTATCTGCCAGTTAGCTTAATGGCTGTAATTGGGCAATGTTAGAGTCTATCATAAAGGATGTAATAACAGACCATTTAAAATGCATAACATAAACAAGGGGGAAATCATGCCTGACAAATTTGCTTGAATTCTTTGAGGAAAATAACAAGCAAAATAGATAAAAAGGAAGTGGTGGATGGAATATATTTGTATTTTCAGAAGGGATTTGATCAGGTACCACACATTAAGCTACTTAATAAAATAAGTGCCCATGGTGTTGGAGGTGGATTTTTTATTCATTCACTCACAGGATAAAGGCATCGCTGGTTAGGCCAGCATTTATTACCCATTGCTAATTGCCCAAGGGCAGTTAAGAGTCAACCACATTTCTGTGGGTCTGGAGTCACATGTAGGCTAGGCCAGGGAAGGATGGGGATTCTTTCCCTAAAGGTCATCAGTGAATCAGATGAGTTTTTCCAACAATCAACAATGATTCATGGTCATCGTTAGACATTTAATTGTAGATATTTTTATTAACTGAATTCAAATGCCCCCATCTATCATAGCAGGATTCAAACTTGGGTCCCCAGAACATTAACTGTGTCTCTGGATTAACAAAAACTGAAAGATTTGTGGATGCTGTAATTCAGAAACAAAAACAGAAGTTGCCAGAAAAGGTCAGCAGGCCTGGCAGCATTTGTGGAGAGAAATCAGAGTTAATGTTTCAGGTCCTTTTACCCTTCCTAAGTCCCAACCAACTTGAAACGTTAACTCTGGTTTCTCTTCACAGATGCTGCTAGGCTTGCTGAGCTTTTCCAGCAACATCTGTTTTTGTCTGTGGATTAACAGTCCAGTGATAATACCACTACACCATTGCCTCCCCTTATTGACATGCATTGAGGATTGTCTAAGCAGCGGAAGACAGAGAGTTGAGATAACAGGATCATTTTCAGGATGGCAATCTGTAACTAGTGGAATGTCACAGTGATTAGTGCTAGGACGACAATTATTTACAATATATATTAATGACTTGGATGAAGAAAATGAATGTTCAATAGCCAAGTTTGTGGTTGACAAAAAAAATAGATGGATAGGCAAGTAGTGAGGATGATAAAAAGAGTGTGCAGAGGAATTTAAACAGGTTAAGTATATTGACAAGAACTTGGCAGATGGAATACAATGTGGGAAAATGTGAGATTATGCACTTTGGCAGGAACTGTTAATAAGTTTGTGGATGACACCAAAACTGGTCGTATAGAAAACAGTGAAGAAGGTTATCAAAGATTAGAAAGGGATCTTTATCAATTGGGTCACTGGGCTGAGGAATGGCAGATTAAGTTTAATTTGGATAAATGCGAGGTATCGCATTTTGATAAAATGAAAAAAGTCAGGACATATTCAGTTAATGGTAGAGCCCTGGGTAGTGTTGTTGAACAGAGAGACCGAGGGATTCTGGTACAAAGTTCTTTGAAAGTTGCATTGCAGGTGGAAAGGGTGGTTAAGAAGGCATTTAGCATGTTTGATTTCATTGCTCAGACCACTGAATATAGGAGTTGGGACATCATGTTGATGTTGTACAGAATGTTGGTGAGGCTTCCTCTGGAGTACTATGTACAGTTCTGGTTGCCCTGCTATAGGATGGATATTATTAAATTGGAGAGGGTTCAGAAAAGATTTACCAGGATGTTTCTGGGACTGCAGGTTTTGAGTTATTAGGTGGAGTTCGATAGGCTGGGACTTTTCCCAAGTGAGTGTAGGAGTTATAAAATCATGATGGGCATAGGTAAGCTGAATAGTAAAGGTCTTTTCCCGAGGTTAGGGAAATTCAAAACTAGAGGGCATAATTTTAAGGTGAGAGGAAAGACGATTAAAAGGGACCTGAGGGGGTGCTTTTTCATACAGTGAGTGATTAGTGTGTGGAATGATCTGCCAGAGGAAGTGGTGGATGTAGGTACAGTTACAACATTTAAAAAACATTTGGACAGGTACATGAGTAGGAAAGGTTTAGAGTGATACGGGCCAAATGCAGGCAAGTGGGATTAGTTTGGTTTGGGAAACGTGGTCAGAATTGTCGGGTTGGACCATGCTGTATGACTCTATGGCGGTATAACAGAAAAGTTGAATATTATTTGGGATAAATGCATACATGTTCAAAAGTTAGCATACAAATTCAGTAATAGGCAAAACAAATGGAATCTTGGCTTTTATTTCAAAGGAAATTGAACGTAAAAATTGGGAAATCTTGCTAAAACTATACAAGGCACTAGTTAGACCACATCTAGAATGCTGTGAACAGTTTTGGTTCCCTCATTTAAGAAGAGATATATTGGCATTGGAGGCAGTCGAGAGATGGTTAACTGGCCTGATCCTGGGTATGGAAGGACTGATTTGTGAGGAGTGGTTAAGTGGGTTGGATTTGTTCTCATTGGAATTTAGAAGAATGAGAGGTAACCTTATTGAAATGTATGAGATTCTAAGGGAACGTGTACGTTTGTCGTTTCAGAAAGGTTGGTTTGCTTTTGTGGGAGAGTCTAGGACCGTAGGGCATAATCTCAGAATAAGGGGGTCACACATTTAAGAGAGCGGAGGAGGAAATTCTTCTCTCAGACGGTAGTGGAATTCTTTACTGCAGAGGGGTGTCAAGGCTGGTGTGAAAAGTATATTCAGGGCTGAGATAGACAGATTTTTAAGGGAATCAAGAGTTTGGGGAAAAATGCAGAAAAGTGCAGTTGAAGATTTTCAGATCAGCCGCGAAATCATCGAATGGCGGCGCAGGTTTGATGGGCTGAATGGCCTAGTTCTGCTCCTATGTCTCATGGTCTTACGATCTTACTGATCCTGCGAAGTGGCCTGAGGCTTGGTACTGCATTAAAGGTGCTGTACAGATTTTGAAGATTCCAATTTGTGTATAAATGTTACAACTCTGTTGCACTGAGCAATTTAAAACGTAACTTTAGAAAAATACTTGAATGAAGTGTGAAATGTCCCCAAACGTTTTGACTTATCTCCTGTGTCCGTCCAGCTTTTGCCAATGGGACTGACCGAAGCAAGTTAGGGATGGGAAGGCTCCCCACATTCAACAAGCGACTTGGGGCGGACGGGGGAGTACCAGTTGGCGACTGACACAGAAAATTGCATGCGCCTCCCTATAGCAACCGCTGGCCTCACCCAGAAGCTTGGAGTGTTTATAAAAGTATTCAGAGTTGTGGTGCGGGGACATTGACGATTCCCTGCTTTTGCCAGCAGTTTGTGAACTCTCCTGCTGTCTCCCCCCATCCCCTGTGGATGGAGTGGTGCACTCCATGCTCCTTTTTTTTGCCAGTGCATGGGTGAAATGCTCGCAAAGCCGGAGTGAGCAGGCACATTGGCGTCATGTTAAACTGCGGCGCACTCAACTTTCATCTTACACAGAGCTAAAGGGGAACACTTTAACCAGGAGCCCCGGCGCAGCTAACCATGATCTGACCATCTCTCCGTCTGCCGAGGCTTTGCTTTTATTTTTTCCAAAAAAATTAGACATTTTGTTCCTTTCTCATAATAAATACATATAAAATAATTTTTAAGTAGTTCTGGTTAAATCGACACAAATCTCCAGGAGTGAGGCAAGATCAGAATGCAGCGTGTCACGCTGCTATTTGGCTTCCTGGTTGTTACTGTGCCTCCAACCCAAGGTAAGATCTTTCTTGTCTGTGAGCATTCTTTCATTCTCTCTCCAGTGTGTTTAAAGGGGGGTTTTGGAGTGAAAGAGAGGGGGAGTTTACAAACTGGCTGAGCAACAATGAGTGAGGTCCATGGGAGAGCCCAGGATGGGAATGATACCTTCTCTCACCTTGTCTGTATAGAATACGATGTATTGATTTGGACCTGGATAAATGTCACTTAACATTCGCTTTTCAACTTTTCCTATGTAACTCTTGCGGACACTCTGGATGCGGGCGGGTGATAAAAAATGAGTCTCGGTGTGACGAGTCCACATTGAGCAGCAGAGCGAACTCAGTATAAGTTTGGAAACGTACGCTCGGGTTTCTTTGTCTTGGAGTTTTGTACATTAATTTAAAAAAATACGGCGAAAAAATCAGGACGGATTTGGGGAGGGGTGTGTGTGTGTGTGTGAGGGAGCCCTGAGAGAGAGCTGTGCATATTCAGGCAGCCTCCAACAAAATAGCGAGGCAGCAAAGTTCATTTTCTGGGCTGTAGGTTTTCAACACCTTGCATGTTCTAACAGCAGCCGCGATCAGAGCTGGTATGCATTCGGAATGAGAACGCTGTGCTGCAGACGGGAGGCGGAACTCTGTGTGTGTGTGTGTGTGTGTATTTGTGTTTGTCCTCTCTAGTCAAAACAATCTTTACTGAATAAAACTGGTCGTCTTTTTTTTGAACAGGCTCTCCACGTAAGAAAAAAATACGTTGCAAACCCCACAAAAGGTTAATTTTCTGTATATTTGTCAGTATGCATGAAGAAAGTGCGCTGGTGGGTGGAATGCCTCGGTGAGATTTAACTCGAACTGTAAAATGCTAAGGACAGAAAACTTGTTCTGCCGAGCCATGTGCCCGCTTGCAATGTTGCCCCTCCAAGGATTTTTATACCCAGAGCTGATCCCCGCATTTAAAAAAATCCCAGCCCTGAAGCATGGGGTGTTGGTGGCGGGGGAGGTCAGCCTGACTTACAGCTCATTCCGCCCCCCCCACCACCAACCTAGTTAAAGACCAAAGTGCCCTCTGTGTGTGTGTGTGTGTGTGTATGGGACAAAGTTCTGCAGCCTGCTCAGATTGTTTGCAGCGTTCTTGTCTGAGTGACAGCTGAACTATCATATTCTATCTTTCTCCCCCCCTTCCCCAAATCAATACTCATATATTTTGCTTCTTAAAACCGGGTTCGTTCACATTTGTCCTGTTGTAGTTGTGCAAGGTGAGTTGTTTTTATTTAAGAAGACCCTATCCCGTTTCAGTTCTACCCCTCTCTCCCTATTGACAATCAGATACAATTCTCTCCCTCTGTCTCTTCCCGAGGCAGCAGACTCTGGGGTAATTTAGCCTCTTCTTCCTTAACAACACGATTAAAATATGCAGGCGCCAGTTCAGTCTTTATCTGTTGTTAGACAAAGGATTGCAGCAACACGGAACACCGCAGGACGAGTGAGGACACTGCTTTTCGAAAGTCATTATCTGGAATACCATCGCGTTTGCAGCTCGAGTGGGGAGCCATGCGGAATAAGGCTGTGCGCTTTTCTTAATTAAAAACTTCTCCATTGCTTTTGGCTTTGTCTGAGCGGAGCCGGCGGTGGCGGGGGGGGAGGGAGGTGATGTTGGGGGAAATTGGACTCGATCATTTCCGTCCGAGTGCTATAATTACCCAGTCTTCTGGTTTGTGATGATTAAAACACTCTTGGAAACACAGGGAATGTGCTGCAGCGGAACGCGTTTACAGGGCGCTGAACTGTTCAGAGGAATGTTTTTAATGCTGATGGGTGACATTAACACACTCTCACTCTCACACATTAGCAGCTTCAACTTGCAGTTGTAGAAATACCAGGTCACTCTGGACACCCAGCAAGTTTAGGTAGAGTTTTAACGGTTTTTTTTAAAAGATGGAAAATCCAGGACATTTCTGGGTATCGAACCCCTCGCATTCAGATCGTTACGATCGTCAGTTCTGCCGAAATTCCTCCTTTTCGTTAGTGAGAGACAGTGCAGGAAGTATAACAGCAGCGCCAGCAATCTCTAGGAACGGCAGGCAGTGCAACTGCTATGCTTTGGGGGGTGGGGGGGTTAGCTTTGTGTGGTGTGGTGGGGTGGGGAGAGTGTATGTACAGAGAGATGGCTGGGTCTGGGGCACAGGGAAAAGAGGCGCTCTGTCTTGTAGGGGTCCTGAGGTGCCTGGTACCCGCTGGCTCTGAGGGGCTACTACCAACCCCTATTAAATCTCGCCCCCTCCCAATTGTTCCATCACCCGGTTGGCTGCGCTGTTTCTGTTTTTAAAATAGCATTTTTTTTTCCTTAACGCTAAATGGTTCCAATATCTCTCAAACATGAAACCTATCTGTGTTACTCATTTATATTTTTGCCTCATGCCTTGGTTCTCAGTGGGTTTGCTGATTAGTATTGGCATTTGTTGAATGTTGTGTCTCAACCTGTTAAATGTTACCCTTGCAACAGGAAAGGGGTGTTTTTAACCGAGGACTGTGGTTTTAAGAGGGCACACGGGGGAGGTGGGGAAGTGTCTGTCTGTGTTGGGGGCGGGGGCTGGTGGTGCCAAGCTGCTCTAAAAGCAGCTCCTCTCCGGCGCCAGCCTCTGCCCACGTTGCTGTGTCTTGTTCCTGAACAGTTTCAAACCCTCTCTCTTCTGCCTTCCTTTCTCCTGCCGCCACCGAGTGGACAGCCTGGAGCTGCTACTGCCGCCTTCCCTTTTTTATTTATTTAAAAAACACCCCGGGATCACTCCTGAGACCAGCGCCGTGGTCCTCACCCCCACACAATCGGCAGCAGCAAGATCAACTTCGAGTCCCGAACGGAAACAAACAAATGGTCACGTTTCAGACCGATGTCGATTTCACTTTTCCAAGGGGTGTTGTCTTTTTGGCAGGAGAGTTGTTTGAACATGTTATCAGGGTGGGTATTCAGACCCTGCAGAATTCTGTTTCCTCCTCCACCCCCTCTTCCCCCAACCTCACCTTGCACTGGGTAAACAGTTGGTGTACATTTCTGAAGAAGGGTCCAGACCCGAACCGTCAGCTTTCCTGCTCCTCTGCTGCTACCTGCCTGCTGTGTTCCTCCAGCTCTACATCTTGTTACCTCCTTATGTGTACACTGTCTTTGTTGTGGACTCATCTTTTAGCTTCATTCTGTCAGAGCTTCTGTTGGGAACCAGTTTATTTATTCTGTCCCAGCTGGCCACAGAGAACAACAGCACAGGAAGAGGCCCTTTGGCCCATCAACGCAATCTTAATCAAGAGGTTTGCAAGTGAAAACCAAAAGAGCTGCTGATGCTTTCAATCAGAAACAAAAACAAGTTGCTGGAAAAGCTCAGCAGATCAGGCAGCATCTGTGGAGAGAAATCAGAGTTAATGTTTTGGGTTGAATGACCCTTCCACAGTACTCAAGTGACCATTGGTTTATGAAACTCAACCATCAGGGTGTTCATAGATAATAGAATCCGTACAGTGTGGAAACAGGCCCTTCGGTCCAACAAGTCCACACTGACCCTCAGAGCATCCCAACCAGACTCATCCCCCTATAACCCACCTAAGCTACACATGCCTGAACATTATGGGGCAATTTAGCATGGCCAATCCACCTAACCTGTACATCTTTGGACTGTGGGAGGAAATCCACGCAGACATGGGGAGAATGTGCAAACTCCACACAGGCAGTCACCTGAGACTGGAATCAAACCCAGGTCCGTGGAGCTGTGAGTGCTAACCACTGAACCATCGAGCCGCCAAAGCAGAAATTGATTACTTCTCAGGGGGAAAGGTCAGTAATAAAACAGAAAATGCTGGAGAAACTCAGCAAGCCTGGCAGCATATGTGCAGAGAGAAACAGTTAATGCATCAAGCCCAAATTGACTTAGGAAAAACGAAATAAAGAAGAAACAGTATTGTTTGGAAATTAATGTGCTAGAGTTCCATTTTTTAGCTACACAAGATACATTAGGAGGGCTCTTGTGGTGCAGTGGCAGTGTCCCTACCTCTGAGCAAAGCAGGCCCAGGTTCAAGTCCCAGCTGCTTCAGAGATATGTCATAATATATCTGAACAGGTCAGTTAGGATGAAAATCTAGAAGACAAGATGGACCAGTGTACGTAATTCTCAAGTTTACTGCTTTTGTTTCATTTGCGAAATACGCAGAATGTGTAATAGGAATTGGTAAAATTTTGGATGTTTAGAGGTCTATTCAATATATTATTTATCACAGATAACTGAATTAATTTGTCAAAGAAGTTTATTATTTTCCCCCCACATATTCTGCCTACAAATGAGTTTCAAGGACTGTGGGGGTGGAATTGAGTATCAACATTTCTGATCTCGCCATTCTCAGCCTAGGTGGCAATAAGCACCACTGTTTATTAGACTGGGGAAGGGTGAGCACTAATCAGTTGGATCTTTGCTTCGAAATTGATATACGGTGAGCTCATAACCAGCCTCCATAAGTGGAGAGCAGATTGAATGAGGATAGAATATGGTTTGTCATGCGTTTGCTAAACATCAATAAAACTCGCAAATGATACATAGTCTGACTCGTCATGTATACCTCAAAATGGAGCTCTAGTATGATCAGTATGGTCCATTCCAAGTATTACTGTTTCTTTCCTTCTGGGTAAATACCTGGCTGACACTATTCTCTCACCGAACTGGAAATTGGCCACAATGATTGAGGTCGCAAAGAGCCAGTGCTGTCTGTGGAAACAGATAAGTGTGTTACGGCTCTTGGGAGAAAAAGCATAGTTGGAGGAAATGGAAGAGAACAGTGTAAGCACCACACTCAAGCAGATTGTGTAGAGCTGTCAATAAATTTACCGTCAGTGAGTGTTTTGCTGACTTGACAACAGCTGCTACTATAGTTTTCTCTCCCTGTCTTGAATTAGCTTGGGGGCCTAGAATAATGAGGTGGTGTCGTCACATCATTTTCTACTAAACTGCATTACTAGATTCTATGACTTGTGTCAGCGATAA